AACACACTCACACACACACAAACACACACACATATACATTAACACACACACACAAACACACACACACATATACATTAAACACACACACACACACACACACATATACATTAAACACACACACACACACACACACATATACATTAAACACACTCACACACACACACACACACACACATATACATTAAACACACTCACACACACACAAACACACACACACATATACATTAAACACACACACACACAAACACACACCTATACATTAAACACACTCACACACACACAAACACACTTGTATTGAGGCACTTCAGAGCTGTCAGTATTGATCATCCTGGAGAGAGAGAGACACAAAACAGGAGGGCGGCCAAATCTCTCTAGATATCACACACACACTGACACACACACACTGACACACACACACTGACACACACACACTGACACACACTCCTCAGCAGTTCCTGATGAAACACAAACCTTCTGTTTCTTCATTTCTCTGCCAGCAGTGTGCTCATTAAAGTGAAATAACATGTTGAAATGTTCCTTCCTATACATCACACGCACACACACACACACACACACACACACACACACACACACACACACACACACACATATATGTATTCACTGTAAACCCATCCGGGACTTTAAACTCTGCCATTGGACTGAAGTCAGCAGCTGCTTTTTATAAAACAGAAACTCGCTGACGGCGTCTGGAAGTCGTTTCTGTCCGATGAGCTTTGAGAGAAGACGCTGCAGAGGAGGAGGGGGAGGAGGGGGAGGTCACATGACCCTTCAGTGAAAGTTTTAACGCAGTAACATGTTGTACTGTTACATCTCCTCAGATTCCTCTTCCCCCTCATTAACATAAAGCAGGATGTTGCTGCAGTAGTTGTTGAGCTGCAGCTGAACTGTTCAGTATCTGACTGCAGCTCACGGTTCTTTTCATTCTGGATCAATCTGCTGATCATTTCCTCCGTTAATTCGAATGATTGTTTGTAAAAGATTCTGCCGTCACAGTTACCCAGAGCCCACAGTGACACCTTCACAATATGACCCCTGCTGTCCGTCAGCTCTCGCTCTCTGCTACGACTCTGCTGCTTAAGTTTTGCAAGAAGACGTCCTCCCCCCTCTTACGCCTCGCAGTGGTTTGGTCCGCTGCCCACCTCTTTCAGACCCTCACAAACTTTATTTCTAAAAAGCGACTCGTGAATTAGTGATTTTATAGAAGATGGATTTTGATGTTGCAGGTTTTGCTTCAACATTAGAGTGGACACATGTTAATAAGGAGGTCGTGGACGTCCTCACCAGCATTAAACATTTCATTTACTGCATTCTGGTTAACGATCAACTTATTTAATATCTGCTGAGTCATGATTCAGTCTTCCCTCCTCTTTGTGTCTTTGTTTGGGGAAGGAACCTCTTTAAATGTGACTGTGGCTCCTTTTCACTTCAATGAGAAATTAATTCATTTTAATTCAGTTATAAACTCCGGCACTTTAATAGCTCCTGTGTTTCAGCAGCTTTTCTGCTCACGTTCAAAACTTTCTGCACGTTCAGGGTCTCTTCCACATACCTGTGTTCCCTGACATGTGACATTTAACGAGAGACTGAAATACCAGATTATGCAGGTTATGCAGACGTGAGCATCGTGGCATCATGTGATGTGTACGTTGGAGGTTAGAGGAAGCGTTCTCTGCAGAGTTTTCAGGAGCTTCTTGAAGTTAGAGAGGGTCGCCCTGCTCCGGTGGCGTGTGGCAGCTTGTTCCACCATCGCAGAGCCAGTGGCCCAGAAGCAACGTAGGCTTGTATTGTGGAGCTTAGGTAGATGGTGCAGACCCAGTAGTCACTCTGTATGCAGCATTAGAGATTTGAATCTGACTCTGGAGGCCCCGGGGGGCCAGTGGAGGTCACTCAGTAATGGAGGGACATGTGTCGTTCTGGGCTGACTGTAACTGCTGCTCTGTTGGTTCTCATTAAGGAACCACTTTACTCCAGGTTCACGTAAAATAAATAAATACGTTTGAAACTGATTGAAATGAAGCAGCAGATCTGTTTCTCTTTAACCTGCTGTTTGTTCAGACTCAAGTTACACCGACTGTCAGTCACACACACACACACGCCTCCTCAAGCCGCCGTGACCTCCGACCTTTCCCGTGTGGCAGTCGCAGTGCTGATGTGGAACACCTGCCTGCCTGAACGCCGCTCTGTTCCCTGTTCTGGGGTTTCATGTTTACGCATCACTTCCTGTTGCTCGTGAAGTTTTAAAAACGTTTGACACACATCGGCGTGATGTCACTTCCTCCAGAGTCAGACGCCTCGCAGATTTCACACGCTCACTGATCGCTGCCAGCTGCAGAGACCCTCGACATCTGTAACACGCAGAGCAGTGCATTGTGGGATCGTTGGTCAGATGTTCACACTCAGAGATCAGACGCTCAAATGATGCCACTTCTCAGTGTGTACCTCCTAGATTCCTCTCCTCGCCTCCTCGCCTCCTCAGGCCAGTGTGTAATCCACGCCGTCGCCTGACGCTTCTGTTTCTGCTTTTTAGTGATTTCACTAAAAGTAGCTGCTGTTCAACATCGATCATTGTTTGTAGAGAAACAACAACAACTCAAAACAGCAGCGAGGAGACTCGCAGAAACCCCACCGCCAACTAACCTTTTGTAACTGTAGAGCGATGCAGACACCAACACACAAGTAGGGGAGACATAATGCACATATTTGTTGTTTGTTGTTTTATTTTTATTTTGTTATTATTATATTTTATATTATTATATAATGCACATGTAAACATATGCGACGTTGTTCTTTCTCTGCAAATACTTTTTATTTTTATATAACTTGCATTTGTTTATTCCATATTTACATATTTCTACATTTATTTATATGTAAAACTGCATGTTTGTCCACGTGTAGCACCTCATCGCCAAAGCAAAACACAACACCATCGATGGTCGTAACACGTCCTGTTTCTCCGATCAGGAACGAGTTATGAATCACCCGATTCACTCTGCACAAGCTCAGTTTAGCATCCTGTAATCATCTTGTGCATTTCCTGCTTTGTAGTTAAACTCATCAAACTGAAATCTATTAGTTTTATTGTTGTTCTCTGTGACGGTGCACAAACACACACATAAATTATGTTAAAAAACAGTTCAAGTGTTGAATAAAAAGCTTATAGAATCATTACAGAATACATATTGTTACATTTCACCCCAGGGCTTGTTCCTAACCCAGACTGGAAAGTTTTCCTCCCTGTGTTTGAGACTTAATGCATTTTCTGTCTGTGTTGCAGAGACATTTAATAACAGACACATGAAACCAGGTTGTGTCAGATTTTAAACACACCGGCTTAAAAGAGCTCCGAGTTACAGACAGAAATGTTACAACCATCTCCCCTCTAAATGCTCACGACGGCGTCGACTCGAAGCAGAAGTATAAACCGGCCTTTAGTCCCTCCAACCAGAGATGCAGGCGAGGAGTCGAAGTAACGGCCGTTTAATGAAATGAGACATTGTAGGTTTGGAGTGAATTAAATAGACGTCTGGCACAGCTGGATCATCTGTTCGTGCTCTGTTCCAGCCTGTGATCTCTCAGCCGGCTACAGATCAGATCTTTACTATCCAGAAACACGTCTGTCAACATCACGGCGTGCAGAAACATCTCCAGGACGCAATAAACATTACAGCGTCTGTCCAACAGTCACAGATTACAGCACATCACGCACGGCACGGAAACCCAGGCCTTTGTTCAGGGCTGTGAAGATAAGATAAGACTTTATTGATCCCTCACTGGGGTAGATCACCAAACAGGAGGTGTGTTTTCATCAGATCAGGTTCATCATCACTGTGGGAAACAACAGGAACGCTGATCTCACCTGTTCTCACAGGACTGGATTCATCACTATTATCACTAAAACACGAGGTGAGTGCTGAGTGCAGAGGACGCCGGGGCTGACGTGGCAGGTCTGGATTATAGCAGCTGAACTGGTTTTTAACGGACCGGCTCTGACATGATCTGGATTTGCAAGGTCGTATGACTCACTTCAGTTTTGGAAATGTAATTAGTTTTAATTTACATGTTAACACAAATAAATACTGCGTTGAAGTCTACAGTCGAGACAGAGACCACACAAGACAGATATCAGCTCTATCAGGTCTGCTGTGTCTCCCACACACTCACCCCTCTATCATCTGTCTGATAACACACACACACACAGCTGAAGGTCAGAGGTCACACTGAAGACTTTCCATGTTTGCATCATGAGTTCATGTCGAGCTGGAGGAACCGGACGATCACGTCTTTCCTGCAGAACGGGAAGAAAGTTGCTGCTTTGTACTTCTGCTTGACTGTATTTAGTTATCGTTATGGTTTTAAACGTGTCCCTGCATACTGCACGACGCCGTGTTATACAACCCAGCGACGAGAATCAGCTCCGCTTCAGCCGCGACACAAACGAATGCTGTTTACTTGTACTGCAATCAAGTATTTCCCAGTATGACAAAGAACAATAGACCTCCGGCCGTTCAGCCTGCAGAGTGGCTTTCTCAAGTTGTTTGTTTTGGACTCTGTGCAGTAGATGCTTCAGCCGGCAGCTGCAGCGCGTTCCTTTGTGGGAAAGTCCTGTGAGAGTGGCGAGCTGTTTGCACGAAGACGACGGCGGATCTGCTGCACGGACTGCAAAACAAACAACTTGAGAGAATCGCTTTGGTTACACTCATAAACTGATTTAGTCAAACAGGACTTTGTTTTAAAGAGACACGAGTTAAACACATCGTTGTCAATTCTGTAAACGTTGGAGGACGAGATCTTTGCCCAGCTGATCTGTGGACGTGAAGAAAGGACGTCAGAGTCACGGGGCGCCCTCAGCAATGTGCTGGTAATCTAATGATGCAACGCCTGTTTGGGACAAACAAACTCTAAGTGTTGTTCCCATGATGCAAAGTTTATCTGCTGCGCTCAGAGGTTCAGTCCTGACAGAGTAAACAGACAACAAGACATCTGATTGGGCAGCACGGCTCATCTTTATTGTGATTGGCTGACAGAGACTCCCCTCGCCCAGCGGACATCCTCCTAAATATCAATAACAAGTACAGAAATGTTTTCACATATTAAAGTGGATTTAGAAAACGCTGATCCAGACTCAGCTGCTGCGTTCTCACCAGAATCCAGATCAACCATTCAGGGTCACAAGGGACGGACGAGGACACAAGTACATGGGGGCGGGACGTCCCTCCAATGAGGGACCAATGGGAACCTCCCGCTCCTGAATCCACTAATCAACGACAATGACATCACTCGCAGCAGCCTTCAATATGAAGACCGCTGCTGAAAACTCCCATCATGCAACAGTCCAACATACAGTAGGGAGGCCAGACCCTGTAGTGCTGTTAATGGCTTTTTAGTGGTTTGACTGACAGGTCAGGGGGACCAATGGGAGTGAAGAGTCCTGAAGCCAGTCAGTCCACATGATTCAGTCATCAAGAACCTGCTGGTTTTCACTACCTGACTGGTTCTATCTGTTTCAGCAGGGGGGTCCAGGAGACCTGGATCTCATGTTAGTTCAGTGATTGTGTAAACAGGTTCCTGCGTTCTCTCATGCTGTGTTCTAGTGTTTTAAAGGTTTGTGGATCTGACCCATCAGACACAGACTGGTTCCTGTGGGCAGAACACGACTGGCTGACTTCAGATCTTTGGTCCTGAACACCCTCTCGCTCTCCTCGGCCCCCAGAGAGCTCTGAAATATCACACCACGGGTTTTTTTCATGTTTTTCTTTTCTTTACAAAATGCAAGTTTCTTCCTGAAATGTAAGTTTAGTATAAAAACATTGGCTTTAAAAACACGATCATGATCAAATATCAGGTACAAAAAGTGCTAAAATACGAAACCACCAACGGGTCTACAACCGTCCTCAGAGCCCAGACAGTTCCCACACTCCTGGATCCTTTACAAGACGTCAGTGAAATGCTTCTGTAGGCCGGCTCAGTGGTTTTTGTTCCTGAAGGCTGAAAGCGAAATGTTAAAAAGGGACTTTGGTCTCTCACGTCCCGGATCACACCGGAGTCCTGATCCTGGACCCAAACTAAGAACCTTTCAGTGATCAGTGTTTGATATTAAGGTTTAAAACTGCTCTAGATCCCTCAGTGTGGGAACGTTTGAGGACTCAATAAACAATTTGAGTACTTTTAAGTGGACTTTAAGAAGCTCGTAGTCCTTTGAAGAGACGTAAATATTCCTGAAAGCCTCTCGTTATTCCGAAGACGCTATCTCCCGAAGGATCACAGCCCCCAGGATCAAACCGCCAGGATGTTTTTAAAACGATTTCCTCTAAAGGTCCACGTTGTTTTCTGAGGCAGTGGCAGAACATTCCTCACAGATGATGAAGAGCACGATACTGAAACTCTACCACGACTCAAATCCCTCAGGTAAACAGTCCCATATTGACGGAGATTACCAACTGGTCTGTTTGGACTCCCAGTATCAACAGCGTCCTTTAAAAATGTCCTCAAGAATTCCTCAATTAAAATCCCAGAATATTCCTAACGGAGCAGGACGACAGTACTTCTGAAATGTCCCTCGGTTCTCGGCAGTCGTAGGGGCAGCAGTTCGGGATCTTTTTGACCATCAGCGTCCATGAAGGACCAAACGTAAACCCTGTTCTTGGTTTCCAGTAGAATCCAGATCACAGCTCAGTGTCTCTGGTTTTGTACTTGTAAGATCCGTTGATGCAGAAGGACCAGCTGATCCAGCACCAAGCTGGTCTTACTGTGTGACGGACGGGGCTGGGAACCAATCCCAGCTGTGCTTTCATAGAGTGGGAGGGGCTTAGCGATGCTAGATGCCGACTGGCCGGTGACGACCAGGAAGAGCTTTGGTTTCCCTGATCAGCGGATGGCTGCTGGTCCCGTAAGGCAGGGCCACGCTTATTTATAAAACTTTACTGAGGTCGGCTCTGTCCTTGGCTCTGATTGGTCAGAATAACAAGGTAGGCGGAGTCCTGTTGCGCCTCAGTATAAAGTTCAAAGAGCAGAGAGGACGTCTGTGAGGGGTTTTTGTGCTTCCTTAGTCTCACAGCTCTGTTTTACCCGATGCCTCTCATTGGCCCAACCATCAGGAGGAGGAGTCTCGCTGGTCCTAAGGCTTTTCTGATTGGTCAAAATGACGGGTTGGATCAGTGACATCCTGAGTGTTGTGTTTCGGGACAGTACGGCAGGGCAGGGCTGTGATTGGTCAGTAGAGGACGGTGGGCGGGACCTTGTGTATCCTGAGCGTCTGGATGGAGGAGAGGATTTTCTTTTGGTGGCCAGCGAGGGTGACGCCCACTCTGAGCAGGTCTCTATGGAAACAGACAGTATGGAAAGAGATTAGAGCCAAAATACAGAAAACACTTGAGTGTGTCACCGCTTTCTGAACAGAAGCTGGGTTAGGGTCTGGGGTTTTGGGGTTAGGGTCTGGGGTTTTGGGGTTAGGATCTGGGGTTTGGGGTTGGGTTTTGGGGTTAGGGGTTTTGGGGTTAGGATCTGGGGTTTTGGGGTTGGGTTTTGGGGTTAGGGTCTGGGGTTTTGGGGTTGGGTTTTGGGGTTAGGGGTTTTGGGGTTAGGATCTGGGGTTTTGGGTTAGGGGTTTTGGGGTTGGGTTTTGGGGTTAGGGGTTTTGGGTTTGGGGTTTTGGGTCTGGGGTTTTGGGTCTGGGGTTTTGGGTCTGGGGTTTTGGGGTTCGGGATTTTGGGGTTAGGGTCTGGGGTTTTGGGTTACGGGTTTTGGGGTTAGGGGTTTTGGGTCTGGAGTTTTGGGTTAGGGGTTTTGGGGTTCGGGATTTTGGGGTTAGGGTCTGGGGTTTTGGGTTAGGGGTTTTGGGGTTAGGGTCTGGGGTTTTGGGTTAGGGGTTTTGGGGTTAGGGGTGTTATGTAGTAACGTAGCGAGTCTCACTCAGTGTTCAGCTGCGAGACGATGTCCAGGCTGGTGAACCCGCCCTGCAGGAAGCTCTGCTCGTATCGCTCCATCTTTATGGCTCGGAGCCACTCAGAGACTGAACCACAGGCCGAGAGGGGAGGGGGGACGCGCTGGTCCAACAGGGGCTGGGACGGGCTGAGAGACAGACAGGATTAATGAGACAGGAGGGTGGGGACACAGCTCCAGACTGTTAACATGAGAACGTTTTAATCAAACAAAGCCGACTGTCCGGGAGGGATGCTTTCAAACTAAACCTCCATAAAATATAAGTTCTTGGAGAGACAGAGTCTGGCTTTTAGTCTCTAGCGTGCGTCAAACACCAAAAACATTTCCCAAAATGCAGCTGGGCAGTGTCTTTCATCATCCCTGCCTGGTACACAGAACTATTTGTTGGATCAGTGTTGCCTGGCAACTCTGAGGAATTGTTGTTTTCACACTTTAAACAAACATGTCTTATGCTAAGCTAAGCTAACGATGTTCAGCACACAGACGTGTGGGCGACATCAAACTGACCGTGTGACAGTCAGAGAGGAAGCTTCCTGCTAAGACTGTAACCTTCAAAATAAAAGCTCAGCGTGTACAGCTGCAGGTACGAGCCGACGTCTCTGCTCGACGGAAGCAGGTTTTTAAATATCTGGACTTTTTTTATTTGTAAACTGAAATCATGAGCAAACACAGGAGGGCGGAAGCCTCCGAGAGACAGACAGGATATTGCTTGAGCTGTAATCCAGGAATGTGATCTGCTCTGCACCTGCTCATGTAAAGAACGGTCTGTGTGTCAATCACACAGCTGGCTGCCCCACAAGCCCCGCCCACAGGCTTTGTGTATGTGTGCGCCTTTGTCTGAGTGGCAGACGCCGACCTCTGACCTCTGACCTCCAGCAGCTGGTGCATAAGTGACATTCCACAGCTGCCAATCAACACCCCCCCCGTTAAAGAGGTGTGTTAACCCGTCTCACCTCGGACCCTCCTGATGCGTCACTTTTAGAGAGGCGGGGTTTCGGATCAGCCTGTCGAGCGCCGCCACCACGTCGCAGAACCTCGGCCGGTTGGCTCGTTCCTTCTGCCAGCAGTCCAGCATGAGCGCGTGCAGGGAGGAGGGGCAGTCCGGCGGCGGGGGCAGCCGGTAGTCCTGCTCGATGGCGTTAATCACCTGACGGAGAGAGAGACGGGTTAACCGTCTGTGACCTTGATATTTAAACTTAATGTCATTTATTTCATCTGGTTTTCACCGGTTGGTCCTGCGTTTAAAATATCTGACAGATTCATAATTCACCTGCTTTTTAAAGGAGTTTTAACGGCAGACTGTTTTTTATTTATGGCTGAATAAAGTGTTTATAAAATCTGAAGGAGCCCAGTTAGAAAATAATGCGAGTCTTGGAGTTTTAGCATGCATGTGTCTCCGGGTCAAACTAAAAGCTGTGTTCCTTCTTACATCCTGGTTGCTCATGTCCCAATATGGCCGTTCTCCGTATGACATCACTTCCCACATGACGATGCCGTAACTCCACGCGTCGCTGGCTGACGTGAACTTCCTGCAGGTCAATGAAAAAATCATGTTAAATATTTAACCCCACTGATCTTCGTCCCCGTGCTGCGACCTGCAGGGCGGACACTCACCTGTAGGCGATGGCCTCGGGAGCCGTCCAGCGAATAGGAATCTTTCCTCCCTGAAGAGACACAGACAGTTAGCTAACGGGAGGAGGCTGGTAGCAATTCTTTCAAAATAAAAGCATGGTATATGCTATATGATAACAAAACCCTGGAGAGGTGCGCTGTTCCTTTAAGGCTCATTAGCACATAGCAGACTTACCAGAGAGCTGGTGTAGGTCGGGTCGGACGAGTTTTCAGTCAGGAACCTGCTGAGACCGAAGTCTGACACCTGAGACAAACAAAAACAAATGTATCATTTTCAAACTGACATGCAGACAGACAGGTGGGCAGGTAGCCCGGTAGGCAAACCGTCTCACCTTACAGACCAGGTTGGAGTTGACCAGGATGTTGCGAGCTGCCAGGTCTCGGTGGACGAAGCTCATGTCGGACAGGTACTTCATCCCCGCCGCGATCCCACGCAGCATCCCCACCAGCTGGATGGTGGTGAACTGCCCGTCATTCATCTGCAGACAGACAGGTGGGAGGTGAGACACAGACAGACAGACAGGTGGGAGGTGAGACACAGACAGACAGACAGGCGGACAGACAGACAGTGAGATAGTGAGACAGACAGACAGGTGGGAGGTGAGACACAGACAGACAGACAGACAGTGAGACAGGCAGACAGGCAGACAGGGCGGACGGACAGTGAGACAGGCAGACAGACAGACAGACAGACAGTGAGACAGACAGGCAGACAGTGAGACAGACAGGCAGACAGACAGTGAGACAGACAGACAGTGAGACAGACAGACAGTGAGACAGGCGGACGGACAGTGAGACAGACGGACAGTGAGACAGACGGACAGTGAGACAGACAGACAGACAGTGAGACAGACAGGCAGACAGACAGGTTAGGCCCGTCTCACCCTCAGGAAACTGTCGAGAGCTCCGTTCTCCATGAACTCGGTGAGGATCATGACGGGACAGGAAGTGGTGATGACGCCCTCCAGGTGGATGATGTTGGGGTGCTGGAACTGACCCATGATGGACGCCTCCGACAGGAAGTCCCGCCTCTGCTTATCCGTGTAGCCGCCCTTCAGGGTCTTGATCGCCACGTAGTTCTCCTTCCGGCCCGGGACCCTCAGCCGCCCGCGACACACCTCGCCAAACTCACCTGGACAGGTACAGCAGAGGGTTTTTTAAATTTGGAAACTGTTCTGCAGCGTAACGGGAGGTCGCTCCCAACCAGGGGAACATGTACAGACAAATACCTGCAGGAACCAATCAGAGCAGAGCTAACCACAAACACCTGTCCAGTCTCTGAGTCAATAAACTGATTCATGGGTTTAATATGGAGCGCTGTTCCTTTAAGGCTCATTAGCACATACCAACACTTCTACACCTCACGCACACACACGCACACACACGCACACACACGCACACACACACGCACACACACACACACACGTGTGAGTGCATTGCTGAAAACTTTTAACCCTTGTTTCCGAGGCAACTGCTATCCAGTTACGTCTGACTAATGTCATCACCAGAGACGACTGATGTTACAGTAGCCACACACACACACGCTGTTGACTTTTAATAAAATGTTGGAGAACAAATCTGATGTAATGTTTTTATAGCGTTTCTCCTGACGGTGGGAAAGTTAACGTTCTCCTCTCAGAGATCAGAGTTCACAAACCTTTCCGGCAGTTTGTTCACAATAAAAGTCTTTTTAACACCCAGCAGCATGTGTTGGTTCTTCAGTAACAAAATAAAGGTCTTTTTGTGTTGCAGCTCTTTACCCAGACAATAAAATGTTCCTCTAAAGGTTTCTTAGCTGAAACGTTTCTAAAAGGTTCCTCAAAAAGATGATTACTAACATTTCCTAAAAAGTTTCTAAACGTTCCTAAAAAACAAGTTACTTAAACATGCCTAGATTCATAAAAAGGTTCCAGGGTTTCACAAAAATCCTTAAAATGTCCTGGATCCCCCCAAAAAGTTTCACAAAATGTTCCTTTTAAGTTCCTTAAACATTACCGTACTTGAATCCCGATCTAAGCCCTAAAAAGGCCCTGAAAGGTTCTTTGATCCCTGCCGAAATCCTAAAATTACCTTAAGTCCTTAACATTTCTAAAAAATGTTCGTGGCTGCTAAAAAATGTTTAAGAACCTAAAAGGTTCCTTAAAAGATTTGAATATATTAGAATATAGGGTCCCTGAAAAGTTCATGGTTCCTACAGAGTTGTAAAAAGTGTGTTCGATTACTAGATTTAAGAAGGACTCTTTAAAAGGTTCATGTGACCTTCATAAGTTCCTTAAGCACGCTAACGTGTGCTAAAAGGTTCCTTAAAGGTTCTTTAGTGCCCGTAAAGGTGCGAGGCTCACCTGCTCCGATCACCTCCTCTATCTTCACGAAGGACGCCTCGATCTCTTTGGCGAACTCCCTCACCGCCTCGTTCGGGTCCTCGTAGGTAAACGGGTCGATGTACACCTTCATCGCTACGACAACGACACCACACCATCATCATCATCATCATCATCATACAGTGCTTTAACATCAACACTGAGGAAAACAGAGTGTGATTGGATGAAACTCACTCTGTCCCATCTGGTAGTGTCCACTCTTATCATTCATCTCCGAAGCCCTCGCTCTCCTGCTGATGGAGGGAGAGAGGAGGGAGAGAGAGGAGAGAGGAGGGAGAGA